CCCAGTGGTGCTCAGGGTTTACTCCTGGCTCTGCTCAGGGATCATTCCTGGCAGTGCTTGGGGAACTATATGCCAGGGGGCCAACAGAGGCTGCCTGCATGCAAACGTCAGCACCCTCCAACCTCCACACCTCCTCTCTCAGCGCCTACTTATTTACTCATGTTAGTAGCCCTTTCCTTCCCCAAGTAGAGGCTGCAGGAAGCAGTAAGCTTCAAGATGACATTGCTTTGGAGTGATGCTCCTGTGATTACGCAGCCCTTCATATTTTCACTTATCTCCAGAATGTTAAAAACGCATCGACTCTTAATCATGTCATTGGACCGAAAGTAGAGGGGTTAGGTGCACGCCTTGCATGATGTGGAGCATGGTTCCATCCTCAGTACCACACGGTACCCCTAGCTTCGGTGAGCTGGACCCAGAGCCCCCGGGTCTGAGCAGCACCTCATGCCATGGACTGGCATGGAGTCTGGGCTGTAGGGTCTCCTTACCACAGTTCTCAAGGCTGCAGTTGGCAGCCACTTGACGGTTGGGTGGGTCAGCTCACACGTGTGGTTTCCCAGGGCCGCAAACCGCTGCCACGTCGCTGCTGCCTGCTGAGTCAGAAGCTCTCTTCATTCATCCACACGAGTGGGCGGCTCCCTGCCGAGCAGCCTCTGGTACCCACGGGTCCTTCCCAGGTGGGGCTGAGGGAGAGGCGCTCTCCATCCCAGATCCCAGCCCTCGCCGGCTGCCTAAGGCCAAGGAAGTGCCCACTCCTGCCTGCCTGGGTCCCCCAGCTTCAAGCTCGGAGGGTGGCAGGAGTGGCCAGTGGCGGCTCAGTAGCTGCGTTAGTCCTTGGTCCTTGAACTCCTGGAGTGTGTGGATGGCTGATCCCTTACCACGCACCTGCAGTGTAGGAAGCAATCTCATCGGGCATAAAAAGTACATGAGACTGTCCAGCTCTTTAAACTCCGAGCAAAAAGCAGGGTGCAGGGGAGATGGAAAGTGATAGGAAAACACAGAAGCTCTGAGAGGTTAAAAAACACGCCCTCAATGCCCTGCCACAGAGGCAGGGTGGGATGGGGGGTGGGAGGGATACTGGGACCCGTGGTGGTGGAAAATGGGCACTGGTGGAGGGCTGGGTACTTGATCATTGTATAACTGAAACCCAAGCACAAAAATGTGTAGGTCTATAACTGTACCTCATGGTGTTTCACTAATAAAAATTAAAAAAAAAAACTCAAAAAATTCAATGGTTGGAAGAAATGTTTAGAACCATCTAATTCACCTAGTTGCTTTAAGGTTTTATTAAAAAACTGTCTCATTAAAAAAAAAAGTCCTCTGGCTGAGGACCAAGAAGGAGAGATGTCAGGATACAGCCACAGTCCCTTGAGACATTTTGAAGAATTCAAAGCGCAAACAGCTGTCTTGTTGCCACTTTGAATTAAAAAGCATATCTCCACGGCTGCAACCAAGTACTGAGAGTAAGCTGCAAGCAAGACAAGTGCACTACCCACTGGACTATCTCTCTGGCCCCTCAGGGAAAACATTTTTCTCAGCCTAAATGATAGTGCAGTAGACTTCTAGGGCTATGATCCTAAGGTCCCCAGAGGGCCAAGAACACCAATAAGATTCAGGGGGTGTGAGCTTGAGCATGGAAAATAACATTTTTTTTCACTAGTCTCTACAGAAAAGTCTAGCTTTCCTTTCTATTGGGGGTCCTGGGGGGGTGCCTCCCAGGGAGGACTCCTGGCTGTGTGCTCAGGGGTCACTGCTGCAGGAGCTGGGGGGACTATATGGGGTGACGGGGGTCAAACCGGGTTGACCCCATGTAAGGCAAGAACCCTACCTGCTCTGCCATCGCTCTGGGCCCTCCTCTCTTTTGAACTTTATAGTTCCCAGCTCTAGCCTGGTGGCCTTTTTCCCCAGAGACGTCCCTGTCACCTCACAACTCTCACAGATGGCCCCAAATACCTTTACACGCTAAGTAACTTGGAATTGCGCAGGGCTAACGCTAACCGCCTCGCAGATTGTTCTACTAATATGGGAGCATATTTCATTGCACTTGCGTTCCATTTCACAAACTGGAGATGATTAGTCGACTAAGGGCCCACTAGATACCAAGATGCTGGACATAGAAGAGCTGAGTGGGCTGGGTAGGATTAGGGGTGCTGGCACCTCAGGCCAGTCTGCACCCCTTCCTCTTCTCCACCAGGCCTAGTCAGCTTCTCTGTGGAAGACTCTGGATGTGTCTGACCAATTCTTCATCTGTAAAGCAGGGTTTGACATTCCCATCATTGAGAAAACCGTGGAAATGCACACAATGGTCCCTAGCATATGTTAAATATTGGGCAGAAAAGCACTTTTTCGGAGACCTAGAGAGGCAAACTATCATTTATTTAGGTTGAGGAATACAGTCCGGGGGTTCTCCAGAGTGAGGGTGAGCCAGAAAACATTGGGGCGGTGGGCTCCAAATCTGGAGTCAGCAGGTAAGTTCCTTTTTCATCCACTCACCGTGATTTCTTGAATCCCGGCCATGTGCCTCTAAGTGCTTCCACAAACACTCCTGAGGTTCAGAGCTAAGTGATCATTTTGGGGGCCAAGCGATAGCATAGCAGGGAGGAAGCTTGCCTTGTGCATGTGGACCAATCCGGATCTGATCCCCTGCATCCCGTGTGGTCCTCAGAGCCTGCCAGGAGTGATCCCTGAGCTCAGAGCCAAGAGCAAGTCCTGAGCACTTCTGGGTGTGACCCCCAAACCACACACGGAAACCCCATAAATGATCATTTCACAATTACTAGAATTTTCAAAATGATACCAAGTATCAAATTGTTTGAATATATCTGAAATTCAGAAAAAAATCTTTGATATGGTTGTGTTTTTGAGGAGGGCTCAGCTGGGGGTGCTGAGGCTAGGCCCCCCACTCCCACTCTGTGCTTGGGTGTCACTCCCAGCAGTGTTGGGGGCCATGTGGCACTGGGAATTAAGCCCAGATTCTAGATCTTTGTGGTATTTCCCCGCCTCAGTCCCCATTTTTGACATCAGACTTCATTTTGATTAAATATTTTCTTGCACACGTTAAAATCAATGACGGTCTTGGAGTTTTGGGTCCAGGTTGGTTTTTATAAGGAAGTAGCCCTGCAGTCAGTGATGACCTTTCTTAAAATTTCTTTTCTTTTTTTGGGGGGGGGTCACACCCGGCGATGCTCAGGGGTTACTCCTGGCTCTGCACTCAGGAATGACTCCTGGCAGTGCTCGGGGACCATATGGGATGCTGGGAATCGAACCTGGGTCGGCTGTGTGCAAGGCAAATGCCCTCCCCACTGTACTATCGCTCCGGCCTCAGTGATGAGTCTTTTTGGGTTGATGAGCGATTGTGCTCATTCATAGGCTGCCCAGATTTCTTTCATTGTGCAGCTGTGAATTCCAGGGTAATTCACAAGGACTTTCCGAGCCACAATGGGAGTGAATGGTGTCAGCCTCAGATCCTGGTTCTTGGGGGGCTCCTTTGCTTAAGGATCTTGCGTCACAGCAGATGCCACGTCCTCCCCCGGAGTGTCACAGTGGCCCAGAGGCTGTACCAGGGCTACCCCTTCGCCAACGATGGGCTTGTCTTGGTGACTGTGGTGAGGACCCTGCCACCACAGAACATACTTGACAGCACCTGTAATTGGAGGTATGACCGCCAAACCCTGAACCCCCGAACCCCACCAGGCATCTCCCTGCACTGCGAATTAGGACCAAGGTGGGGACATCACCACGCTTGTGGGAGGAGGACAGTTCAGCCAACGGGCCTGCCTCACCTATGGGTGACCCTCTGCCGCCCTGTTCCCTGTCAGTCCGCCCGGTTCTTTCCCAGTCAACTCGGGGCTCCAAGTCTTGGCATCTTCTGGGACAGGCTGGGACACAGACGTTTTCAGTTTGGGGTGCCACATCAGCTGGCGCTCAGGGATCATTCCTGATGGAGCTCAGTATGGGTTACCAGGGACTGACCCCGAGGTGACCATGGGAAAGGCAAACACCCCCCCTGCTGAGCTCTCTCTGGCCCTGGAATCTCGAGCACTGGACTCGGGGACACTGAACGTCTGATGAGCGGGTAGATGAGATGTTCCTGGGAGGATGGGTCCTCGCCAAGCCCACCTGGGCAGCTCTGGGACACCGGCAGGGGATTCTGCATCTCTGCCATGTCCACAGGCCAGGCTGGGACAGGCGTCAGCGTGTCGTGGGCAGTGGGCAGCTCTCAGCAAGGCTCTCTGGTCAGCCCCCATCCCACAACGGGCCTCCGTGAGTTCTGCGGGAAAATCACTTTCCTGCCTGGGTTTTCCTGGGTAGCACGTGTGTGCGTGTCACCCTGCACCAGGGGTGCCCGGTCTCTCAGGGCTTCCAGGGCTCCTAGCATCTTCTTCCTCCTCCTCCTCCTCCTCCTGTTCCTCCTCCTTCTCCTCCTCATGCTCCTCTTCTCTACCACTTCCATCTCTCCTCCTTCTATTCCTCCTCCTCCTGCTCCCCTTCCCGTCCATTTCCTCCTCTCCCTCCTCCAGCTCTCCCTTCACAGTCTGGGAAATAATAACCTTCTAAACAGCGTCCAGAGACTTTAACCGGACCCCAGAGCAGGAGGCCCCTGAAGCCCCTCCCCGCCCCTAAGCTCCCTCTCGGTCTCCCAGCCAGCAACTGAGGCAGGAGCTAGCTGGCCCTCTTGGGTTTTCATTCCATCACACAGCAGGTGCGGCGGGGGTGATGCGTGGGGTTCCATCAAGAACCAGGGGCCTCCGCTGCGCCCAGCGGCAGGGCCCGCACCCTGGCCTGGCACTGTGTGGGGTTCCTGGGGAGAGGCGTGACCCTGCTCTCTGGCCCGTCTGGCTGAAACTCTCCTGTGGTCAGCTGCCTCAGCGGACGCAGCCTCCCCTGCCCTAGCCCTCCTCCTCAGCCTGGCAGCCAAGAATGGCTTCCAAGAAACGCTTTTATCAAGTGGGGGAGTAGGGGATTTTGGCAAAGATCAACCGAACCACTTCTGGGTGGGGATTTCCCGTGAGGCCCCGCCCCCCGTGTGAGTCAGTCCGGCCCGGCTTTGCCTGCAACCTTGAACCCACTCACAGACCAGCAGAGCCAGCGGCCAGCCCGGGGTACTCACGGTCAGTCTGTTAGGGGCCGGTGGGGGGGTCCCTGGGGCAGGCTAGAAGCTTTGCTGCCCGTGGGCCGGGGACGTCTCTCCATTTGGCTGAGAACTGTTATTTGTAGCCCAGTAAATCAAGATGAGGAGCTGGGCTAGAGAGTTAATTTTTTCTTTTTGCTCTTTAGCTTGGCTACTATGCGCCTCTCATCTCTGACGTCTAGGAGGATGTGCTGACTTGAGAAGCGCCTGGTCGGGAGTGAGGTGCGGAGGTTCTCATCGCCTGGCTGGGCAGGAGACAGAGCTGCTGGAAGCCGCGGGCACATCTGCCTCTGAAGCGGGGACGCGTCCCCTCAGCAGGCACGGCTGGCCCGGAGCGGGCTTTGCTGATACCCGGATGTGACCTCAGGATCTCTGTAAGTCTCTCCCAAATCCTGCTCCTCTCCTGTCTGAATTGCAACAGATGTTGGGGAATGCACGCTTCCATTCAGACACACCTGTGAGGGGCTAAAGGGTCCGACTTCACCGCCCCTTCCCATGATGCTCCTCCTCCTCCCGCTCCTCCTTCTCCCATTCCTCTTCCTCCTCCCATTCCTCCTCCTCCCGCTCCTCCTCCTGCTCCTCCTCCACTCCTCATCCCATTCCTCCTCCCATTCCTCCTCCTCCTCCCATTCTTCCTCCCAGTCCTCCTCCCATTCCTCCTCCTCCCACTCCTTCTCCTGCTCCTCCTCCTCCCGCTCTTCCTTCTTCTGCTCCTTCTCCTGTTCCTTCTCCTCACACTCCTCCTCCTCCCATTCCTCCTCCTCCCACTCCTCCTTCCCGTCCTTTTCCCCGCTCCTCCTCCCATTTCTCCTCCCCAATCCTCCTCCTCCCATCCTTCCTCCTCCTCCCGTTCTTCCTCCTCCTTCCCCTGCTCCTCCTCCTCCCACTCTTTCTCCTGCTCCTCCTCCTCCCGCTCCTCCTCCTCCCGCTCCTCCTCCTGTTCCTCTCCTCACACTCCTCCTCCTCCCATTCCTCCTCCTCCCACTCCTCCTTCCTGTCCTCTTCCCGCTCCTCCTCCCATTTCTCCTCCTCCCCGATCCTCCTCCTCCCATCCCTCCTCCTCCTCCCATTCCCTCTTCTCCTCCCATTCCCTCTTCTCCTCCCATTCCCTCTTCTCCTCCCCCTACTCCTCCTCCCACTCCTACACCTCCCAGTCCTCCTCCTCCTCCTGATCCTCCTCCTCCCGCTCCTCCTCCTTCCACTCCTCCTGCTGCTTCTCCTCACACTCCTCCTCCCACTCCTCCTTCCTGTCCTCCTCCTCCCCCACTCCTCCTCCTCCCATTCCTCCTTCTCCTTCCACTCCTCCTCCCACTCCTCCTCCTCCTGCTCCTCCACCTCCTTCCAGTACTCCTCCTCCTCCTGCCCCTCCTCCTCCCCCCCCGCTTGCTCCTGAAGATCCCTGGGTTAGGACCTTGTGGGGTTTGTATGAGCACTGGTTGGAAGCTGGAAACCACCTCATTTTCAGAAATGTTTCTCTTCTACAGAGCAGCTCTGGTGACACTAGCGACTTCACTTAAAAATCCCATCAGCGCCTGCTTTGCAAGGGCCATCCCCGGATCCCACCATGGGCAAGGGCTGTTCCCATATCGCGCTCACGGTGCTGCTCGTCCTGAATCTCACCAAGACCAGGTCTCTGCCGGACCCATGTAGTGCCTGTGCAGCTGGTAAGAATGACCCTTGTGCCTGATCCATGGAAACTCGGTTCCTTGGATCTCATTGGGGGAAGAGTGGGGTCCTGATCACCTAATAGTGATCTTTCACTCATTCATCTGCCTCGCCCTCCGGAGGCCCCTCCCAGCTGGACGGGGCCCACAGCCTCTCTCCTGCCCCAGCGCCATCTGGGAGCCAGTGTGGCGCTCTCCCCGGGTGCCGGGGGGCGGATGTGGGTGGAGGGGGGGTCGCGGCCGCGTGGCCATGTCTCAGGAAGGGTGAGCCCCAGGGTCACAGCAAGGAGGAAGGAAGTAGCAGGCGACTGCATGGGGCCAGAAAGAAGCGTTCCCAAGCATCCCCATGAAGGGCTGCACCCAGAACATCATTCTGGTCGGTCCTGTAGGCAACCAAAGGCGTTTTCTCGCCTGCGGATCTACTGAGCGATGCATCCCTGCCATCTCCAAGGGAGTAATGATGCTTGGTGCAGTCTTGCCAGTGGAGACCCTCGTAGGGCAATTTTGCCAATGGAGCCTTTTCAGACTTTTAAAACAAAAGTCTAGTGCGGTGGCATCTAGGAATGGACTCGCTGTTGTCTGCTCTCATTTTCTCTCTCATCCTAATGCTTGAAATGCTGATTGTCCACTGTCAAGTGCCCAGCTCTTGTCTGTCCTCCTCAGGTACTTTCTGTGGGAAAGCTGCAAATCAGACTTGCTTCCTCTGTCCTCCAAACAGTTTCTCCAGCAAAAGTGGACAAAAGGCCTGTGACATATGCAGAAAATGTGAAGGTATGAATTCCAGGTGGGCTTGGTCCAGATCCAAGCTAGGTTCCTTAGTACACATTCTCTATTCCATATGGCATGTGTCAAGCGAGAGCTTCCTTTGGGGGCGGCAGAGATAGTACAGTGGGGAGGGCGCTGGTCTTGCACGCGACTGACCTGGATTCCATCCCCGCTGAGTGCAGAGTCTGGAGTAAGCCCTGAGCACTGAAGGGTGTGCCCCCACTCGAAAAAAAAAATAAACAACCCCCAAAATTCCTCTTTAATCCCATCCAAGGGAAGAAATTTCCTATAACAACAGTAACTGGTAAGTTGAATTTTATTTGGCGGTAGGGATGGGACCCATGGGGTGCTCAGGAGGCTCTGGGAGCCCCCTGGGCAATCCTCTGCCACATGGACTGGTGGTGCAATACTGCCCAGATCCTGCTGTGCCAAGGGGCACCCAGGCTGCCCACCAGTGCCAAGGGACTCCAAGAACCACACACAGTGGTGTTGGGGGCCTTCAGGTGTATACCCAGCAAGCTTTCGGGGACCATGTGGTGCCAAGACTCGGACCAAGATCAAGCGCATGCTAGGCCTGTCCCCCGACGACTGGCCTAGCTCCCGGCCCTGGGGCTGGTCTGTTCTAATGATGAGAGGAAACGGTCACTTGACATGGGAGCAGGTGTTCCCTAGTGAACTGAGAATGAGTGAGTTAGTCTTCCGGAGAGACTCAGCACCTTGGCTCTCTCCCCAAGTAGGGATTCGCTGAGGAGAGTGGTTCTGGCCTCTAGTGCCAAACAGAAGTTGTTACCCAGGGTCTGGAGGGCCCGGGGTAAGGGAACACGGGGAACCTTGCAGGTGTCTTCAGGACCAAGAAGCCTTGCTCTAAAACCAGCAACACAGAGTGTGAGTGTGTGCCGGGCTTCAGCTGTGTGGACGCCGGATGCACCCAGTGTAAACAGGATTGTGAAGAAGGACAACAATTAACCCAAGAGGGTGAGTGGGCTTCTCAAGATGGTTGTTTGTGTGTGTGTGTGTGTGTGTGTGTGTGTGTGTGTGTGTGTGTGTGTGTGATCTGCACACAGGTCATCAGCAGTGGCCTCGGGGCTTTGACTATAAAGGAAAAGAGAGATTGTAGAAGCTAACATAACAAGTAATGGACCAATAAATCAAGCATATGATATTGACAAGATTATTTTCCCAGTCAATGGAAATCGCTTGAAACCCCAGTAGCATTCCGTACTTCCCAGCGGTCTGCACTGACCTTCAACACTCCATGGAGGGTTAAGATCATTTATGCCCAGTCAGCTTGGGACTGGGTTTCAAGAATGTCGAATAATCTCCCTAATTGGACACGACTTTGTGACTGAGTTCATCAGGGAAAGTGACAATTCCTGAAAATGCTGCCTTTGAAATGGTTGCTTTCATCTTATTTTTTTTTTACAAGGTTGTAAGGACTGTGCCTTTGGGACATTTTACGATGAGGAGCGTGGCGCCTGCAGAGCCTGGACAGAGTACGTAGGACTCTTGCTGCTTAAGGGGACAAAGGCTGGGGTCAAACTTTTCAAAGACAAGCAGTGTTGTCCTAGATGCTTCTTAAAACCCACCGACTGGCCAGAATAAATCACTGCCGAAGAGGCAGAGTGGGTCCAGCCCAGGGAAATAGTGGTTTGATCCCCAAAGTAGATATCTTCCCCCACAAATTATACCCGAGCGTCTCTCAGAGGTGGCAGGAGCTGAGTCACTCTCAGCCATGGAACTTCTGCTTCCTTCCAGCTCATCTCTTCTCTGCTCCTTCTTTCTCTCATCCCTGAGCCTGCCTTATTGAGAGGTACCCCGGGGGAGGTAAAGGATGCTTCCTGTTCCCCCAAACAGAACGTGTACCTGGACAAAGGTCATCATGATAGGCAGGAAAACAGTTGTCGGTACACACGGGAATGTTCCCTTTCCCTGATCTGGACCAGCCCTGCTCCAAGTGTGGCCGATGACAAGAGCTGGATGTCCAGGGTCTCTGCCCTGCCATAGCTAGCACCGTCCCCCCCAACCCCCTCCTCCCTGCCCAAAGAGCAAACGTTTTGAGACTTGACAAAGCAAATTGGAAGTCACACGCATCTCCTGACACTAATGATGAAAGTTTATGACTGTGTTTTGAAGGATTTCTTTTTAAGAATTTGATTTTACCAGCAACATTTTTTTTTTTTTTGCTTTTTTGGTTCACATCCAGCGATGCACAAGGGTTACTCCTGGTTCATGCACTCAGGAATCACTCCTGGCCGTGCCTGGGGGACCATATGGGATACTGGGAATTGAACCCGGGTCAGCTGCGTGCAAGGCAAACGCCCTACCTGCTGTGCTAGCTATCACTCCAGCCCCCTATTCTTTTTCTTTTACATCGAGATTTTAGTTATCTTTTATGAAAGTCTTGGTTTGAAAGCTTTTTTTCTTAAGCCCTTTTAACACACATGCTTTTGAACAGTCAAGTGAGTGCACAGAAAATATCAAACTGGACTTTGTAATAATAGGTTAGTTTGGGAGGACTACAGGGACAGAAGAAAAGGATGGGGTGGTGGTGATGGTGTTGTAGGTGATCGTGGGGGCGGATGGTATTGGTCCTGATGGCAGTGACGCTGGTGACAATGATGTGATAAGGATAATAATGGTCACGAGGATGGTGATGAGGACGGGGCAGTGAAGGCGATGATGTCTCTTACGGTGGTGATAGCCACCGTGATGATGTAATAATAGCAGTGACCAGCAGAGGGCAATAATGATGACATTGATAATTAATGATGATGTTAAGTTGCTGCTGATACCGGGGTGATGCTCATATGCCCACAACAGTGATCGTGCTGGTGGGAACGCTGGCAAAGATGGCATGAGGATGAACAACTGCTCCTGACTGGGCAAGAGCTCAGCCCAGGCGGTGCAGAGCTGAGGCTGTTGCTTTGGGCCATGAAGTCGGTCCCTCTGCGAAGGACCGACTTCATGGACCAAACTGAGGCTTACAGAGGTTTCCCAATGCGCCCTCAAGACACTCTGCAAAGTGGCAGCGCCAGAGCCCAAGCCCAGGCCTCACCTCATGGGGGCAGAGTCCTAAACTTGAGGCTGAGCTGTCTACCTTTGCGTGTGCCACACATGATCCCTGAAGCTTCAGAAGCAGGGAGCAAGAGAAAGACCAGGTGAGGCCACCTGGATTAAGCTGGCCCGGGCACTATCCTCGGAAGGAAGAGCGCCCGGCTAGCTGGGCAGACTGGGGCTGATGGTGCCATCGGGGCACAGGGCAGGCCGTCAGGGAGGGCGTCCTGGATTCTGAGTCTTCCCTGCACCCCAGGCCTCGCGGCAGGCTCTTAGCCACTATAACAGTGTTTGGGTCAGCGTGTTGCACCTCTGTTAATCATGTGAACCCCTTCCCGTGACCTCCTCAGCTGTTCTTCGGCTGGAAAGCCTGTGCTGGTCGCTGGATCGAAGGACAGGGATGCAGTGTGTGGCCCGGACTTGGCAGACTCCTCACCGGTGTCACTGTCCACCACCAGGCTCACGTCTGCTGGAGCACCAGGTAGCTGGGCTGTGGGGCTGGCCGTCTTGCTGGAGAGGGGATGTGCCCGGTGCCTCCTGATCAGCCTACTGTGGGCACCTGCAGCAGCCCCCTGCCTTCTCAGGACCCACGAGGGTTCCCCGCGTCTGTTTTCAAGTGTGAGACACATCTGTCAGCCTGCAGGGAACATGATGTCCCAGTGAAGGGGATCAAGATACCCCAATGTACCCCAGAGGCCAAACCACTTCATTTTCATTAACCTTTAGGGAAAGTCTGTTGTTAGTTTGGGGGGCACACCCGACAGTGCTCAGGGCTTGCTCTTGGCTCTGTGCTCAGGGATCACTCCTGGTGGGGCTCAGAGGACCATATGGGGTGTCAGGGATCCAACCCGGGTCTGCTGCATGCAAGGCAGACGCCTTCCCCAATGTACTGTCGCTTTGGCGCCTGTTTCGTCTTGCTTGGATTCTGCTGCCCTAAGCCAGCGGCTGGACACGCAGGCGGCTTCTCCTCTCGCCTTGGCCTGGAAACCCACCCGCCCATGGTTCCCTGCAGGCCACATCCCCCAGTTCCTCATTGTCCTCCTCCTGCTGATGTCCACGGCAGTCATCATCCTGGCGTTCGTCCTCACGCTCCGCCTCTCCATGGTCAGACGCGGCAGGAAGAAATTCTTGTACCTGCTCAAACAGCGTAAGTCTCCCCAAACACCCAGGCAGCACGTTCTGGTGAGAGGGAAGAGGGACAGGGTGTCGGCCACACCAGCGGTGCGCAAGGGGACTCCTGGCTCTGTGTGTGGGCATCACTCCTGGCAGCTCTGGGTACCCTCTGTGGTGCCGGGGATTGAACGGGGACCTGTCACATGCAAGGCCAACGCCTGAAGCTCAGTGCTCGCTCTCCAGCCCCTCCCCAGGAGAGAATGTTAAGTTCTGGGAACGCCGTGAGTGTGGACTGGGGCTGCCCAGAGATTTGTACCTGAGCAGACGTGTGACAAGTTGCATGGCATGGGGGCCAGGGGCCAGGCGGGAGTACCTGCTCCCGTGAGTTGTGAGTCATCAGAGAAGTGACTGGGCAGCCGGCAATGTCCAGGACAAGTTAGCCAGCCCCAAAGGGCAGCGGCCGGTCTGGAGAAAGCGGGAGCTCGGATATATGGCAGTGGAAGTAATATGGGCTCAGGGAAGTGTGTGTGTATTTGTGTGTCTAGGTGTGTATCTGAGAGTGTGTGTGTCTGTGTGTCTCTTATGTGTCTCTGTGTAGGCTTGTATGTGTCTGTTTGTATCTCTGTATGTCTGAATCTGTGTGTGTGTGTGTGTGTGTGTGTGTGTGTGTGTGTGTGTCAGGAGAGGGAAGCTACATACAACGGGCATCAGAGCCCTGATGTGGCTTCCAGGAGATGTCTGTCATTTGCTCAGCCATGAAGGTGCCGAAGATCGTTGTTCAAAAAGACAATTCCTGGGGCCCGAGAGATAGTACAGTCGATCCCCAGCATCCCATATGGTCCCCTGAGCACCATCAGGAGTAATTCCTGAGTGCAGAGCCAGGAAGAACCCCTGAGCATCACCAGGTGTGACCCAAAAAGCAAGCAAGCAAGCAAACAAACAAAAAAAAACCCAAAAGACAGTTCCTCTCTCAGAAAGGCTCTGCAGGCAAACTGAGCTCGGGCGAGCGTGCGGACTTGTTTGGAACTGCACCAGAACATGGTGCCCTGCTCTGATCTCTCTGGAGGACAGCATGTCCCTAACAGCCTCGCCATGGGCCTCGCCCTGGGACAGCCCCGTCATCCACGCGAGGGCCCAAGAGAGCGAGTGTCTATTTGGGGATGTTAAAAATAGATTCGGGGGGCCGGGGTGGGGGCCCAGGACAGACACAGGCATGTGAGCAACCACAGTCTCTGGAGCTGGAGGAAGGTGAGGACAGCCCTGTCCCTCCATGTCCCTGTATTAGCTCAGAGCTCGCTAGAAGGCACAAGAAAACCGGAAAATGCAGCCATGTGGAGTTTGATGAATTGTTGTCAAACGACCCCTCGCAGGGTCAGGAAACGGGGCGTCTGTTCCCAGAAACCCTTGCAGCAGCTGCTGCATGGGAAACCCCTCCCCACCTCCCAGCACCCCTGCACAGCCGACCTCCTTCAGCGGGTCACAGTGCCTTGTCCTAGTCACTGTTGATGGCTCCGCCACTCAACAACACCATTTAAAGGACCCTGTCTGCTCCTTGTTCCCCAGTTTCCTTGGTCTGAGCACACCAGCTATGCTCCCAGTTTGGTGCTCAGAGGCCATGCCGGCACCCCGTGGTGGTGGGGATTGAACCCAGTGATCTCTGCTGAGCTGTCTTCCCCCATTAGACTCTTTTCCTCCTCAGACTTGTCATTTCGGTGTGTCCCCCTCTTCCCCCCACCCCCCACATCCCTCTTCCCTTTGCTCTGACACTGAGTATTCTCTGCCCTGACTCCGGCAAAGGCTAGTTACCCAATGCAGATGGAGCTCTGGAAACTTCTAGACTAAGACACGTGAATCATTTTCTCTTGTACACCTTGGGTCACAAGCCCCAGTTGGCATTTCTGTGTGAACAGAGTGAGCGTGGTGCGGCTGGCGCCGTGAGGGGCATGGCCACAGGCCCGGCACATCTACCGCTTTCCAAACTGGTCACGGAGTGTCCCCTGCAGCGTGGAAAGTTCCCCTCGCTCCCTCTGCTGCCCACCCTGGTGCCTGGGCAGAGGTCGAGGACCCCGTCTTGGACTGGTTCCAAGTCGATTTTCTCAGCATCCCTGAGAGACTCCGGTCAGGATGCAACTGGCCCGCGGGCGGCCTTTGTGTTTCTTTTCAGAAGATTCTCTTTCCCGGTGATTCTCTTCGCCTTCTCGAGTCTGTTAATCAAGTTCATACATTTATCTTTCTCCACGCTGTGGTTCCCCCCTCAGTTCTGCTTTTGAGGTCAACCTCTGATTCAAATCACTGAACTCACACTTAAATCTTTTTTTTTTTTTTTTTGTCACACCCGGCGATGCTCAGGGGTTACTCCTGGCTCTGCATTCAGGAATTACTCCTGCAGGTGCTCAGGGTACCATATGGAGAATTTTTATTTTTTATTTATTTCTTTTGGGGTCACACCTGGCGATGCACAGGGGTTACTCCTGGCTCTGCATTCAGGAGTTACTCCTGGCGGTGCTCAGGGGACCATATGGGATGCTGGGAATCGAACCTGGGTCAGCCACGTGCAAGGCAAATGCCCTACCCGCTGTGCTATCTCTCCAGCCCCCTCAGGGGGCCATATGGGATGCTGGAAATTGAACCCGGGTCAGCCATGTGCCAGGCAAATGCCCTACCCACTGTGCTATTGCTCCAGCCTCAAATCTCTGATTTAAAGCATCATCTTCCCTTCATTATTCCCAGTGACAATAAAGTCCTCTGTAACTGTTTTGCCAGGGTCAGGGAGACAGGAATCTAGGGGTTTAGGGGTGTGCCCCACATCTGCCTGATCCAGGGTTGATCTCCGACACAGCATGGGCCCCCAGGCATTGGCTGGGTGCTGGCCTGGAAGTGCCCAGTGCTGCCTGGACCCTCCAGCCTCACACGGGACTGTCTGGCTGGCTGAGAATTGTTAGGTGTGGGCCTCAGACCCTCCCCAAATGCTTTTGAAACCAATTTTCCAGTGTTTCAATGAGTAGTTGTTGAATTACCATAGAGATCTAATCAACTTTAAAATTTTTTAATCACCAAAAAGACATTGTAAGGGTAAGATAGCATAATGGGGAAGGCGTTTGCCTCATATGGAGCTAACCAGGGTTCCAGCTCCGGTATCTGCTGATGTGGTCCCCAAGCACTGCCAGGAGTGATTACTGAACACAGAGCTAGAAGTAACTCCTGAGCATCAAAGAAACAAAATAAAAAAACCCCCATAAAACCAAAAACGCTTCTCCCTGAAAAATAACCTTTTAGGGGACGAAGAGATAGTATAGCAGGTAGGGCACTTGCCTTGTTCATGGCTGACCCAGGTTCAATCCCCGGCATCCCATGTGGTCATCTGAGCAGTGCCAGGATAATTCCTGAGTGCAGAGACAGGAGTAACCCCTGAGCATTGCTCGGTGTGACACCAAAACAAAAAATATTAAAAATTTTTTAAAAAACACTGTAGCACTGCACTGTCCTCCCATTGTTCATCAGTTTGCTTGAGTGGGCACCAGTAATGTCTGCATTGTGAGACTTGTTACTGTTTTTGGCATATCGAATACATCACAGTTAGCTTGCCAGGCTTTGCCATGCGGGCACTATACTCTCTGTACACTGTCACTGTCACTGTCCTCCCGTTGTTCATCAATTTGCTCGAGCGGGCCCAGTAACATTGTGAGACTTGTTACTGTGTTTGGCATATTAAATACGTCACAGGTAGCTGGAGCGATAGCACAGCAGGTAGGGCATTTGCCTTGCACGTGGCCAGCCTGGCCAAACCGGGTTTGATTCCTCCGCCCCTCTCGGAGAGCCCGGCAAGCTACCGAGAGTATCTCGCCCGCTCGGTACACTAAATTTTGAAATACCTATAGATCAACAGGAAGTTGCAAAGAATAGGAGGGAAAAATCTCATGTGGAAATTCTCTGTTTTCCACAGTACAGCTATGGCATAAGATGCAAACCAAGGGCTTGGCTCTTGGCACGCGCTCTGCATAGCTGTCTGACACTTCTCCACGTCCAGATCCTCCCACTGCCGTGTCAACCCCTCCTCCCCCTCTCCCCCCGACTCCCAATCTGTCTTCCATCTCTCTGATGGCATTTCAGGAGTGTGAGCTCAGAGCGACTCAGCCCACGTGGCTCATGCCCGTGTCCCAGTCTGTCTGCGGGAATTGTTAGGTTGTTATGGTTCTCGAGCTCCATGTTCCTTTCACCTTTCACCTTTGACCCATTGATGATGGCATCTTGAGAGCCGCTGTGAATATAATCCTGTACAGGGTGATGTGTCTTCACACTGCTAAGCTAACCACCCACGAGGGCAAGGCCGGGTCAGATGTTAAGGGTATGTGGAATTTTTTAAGGAGCTGCCGAATCTTTTCCCGGGCGGGATGGGGTTGTATCCTTCAGTGTCCACCAGTGTTGCAGGACGGACCTTGTTTCTCCGCCAGCGTGTCTAGAGTCACACATTGTCATTCAATAGTACCTCCTTTAATCTGGCCTCTTGCCGCCTCTTCCTCGCTGTTAAAAGGTGCTTATTTTTGCACGAATTTTCCATCTGCCTCCATGGCCTGCATCTCCCTGTGTCTTTTACCTCTTTCCGAAAGGAATTGCTAGTCGGTGTCTGGACCAACCGCAGAATGTTCTCAACAGCTCCTCCATCTGGGGCCTGGTCAGATCTGTGGTCTGTGAATCTCTTCCTCCCAGTGGAGAGCAGGTCTTCCCACCCTCGCCCTTGCCACTGAGTTTTCTTCAGAGAAAAGGTGTGTTTTTTTTTTTTTAATTTAAATGAGATCCAATTTGTTAATTCTTAATTTACGAGTTCCTAAGTCAAGAAGATTTAGATTCTCCCCAGTGGTTCTCTTCTAAATGTCTACATTTAGAAAGGAGAGGGTCGGTGAAAATGTTTACATCTACTTTTTTTGGGTCATACCCAGCAATGCACAGGGGTTACTCCTGGTTCATGCACTCAGGGATTACTCCTGGCAGTGCTCGGGGGACCATATGGAATGCTGGTAATTGAACCTGGGTTGGCTGTGTTCAAGGCAAACGCCCTATCCACTGTGCTATTGCTCCAGCCCATATCTTTTTTTTTGTTTTTTTGGTTTTTTGGGGGGGTCACACCCAATGATGCTTAGGGATTACTCCTGGCTCTGCACTCAGGAATTACCCTTCTCAATGCTTGGGGGACCATATGGGATGCTGGGGATCGAACCCAGGTCGGCTGCATGCAAGGCAAACGCCCTACCCGCTGTACTATTGCTCCGGCCCCACACATCTACATTTTTTTTTTTAATTTACAGACATGAGGGGTGTGGATCAAGATTTTTTGTGTTTGATGTTTTTATTTTTTTCTGCCTCTAGATGTTCAATTGCTCCGGCAGCATCAGTTGGAAGGAGATCCACCTTCCCCTGAATTGCTCTCTCATCTGTCGAAAATCAGTTGACTTGTGTGGAAATTATTTCTGTCTCTTTCTTCTGTCCCCGTAACCTCTGTGGTTTGTTTTCTGCTGACACTACTCGGTCTGGATTTCTGTAGTATTGTGATGAGTTTTTTGTCAGTGTCTCTTTTCAGATATTGCTGAATCCTCCTTCTGCCGTTCTAGAACAGTTTCTGCTGCCTTGCTCACGAGCGCTGCTAACCTGTGACTTTCAGGGCAGGCGTGATCATGCAAGCGGGGCCCAGAGGTCGTGCAGGCCCCTGACCTACCAACCCTCTCCCAGGCCCCCACATTTTCTTTCTAAAACTGATCCTTGATGCCATTTCTAAAGTAAGATCCCACCTTGGTATTTCAATATCTGGCCAGTTTTTCATGAGCAGCTTGGAGCTCGTATTGGATGTTGGATTTTGGGTTTTATTTATTTATTTATAATAGAAACCACACATAAAATTTAGGAAGGGCCTTTTTCTTTGTCAGACTACAAAAATATTGTTCCGGGGGGCTGAAGAGATGGAGTGGACTTGTCTGCAGGAGGCTGGGGCTTGAGCACGACCTGGCTTCCTCTAGCACCACCCAGAGTGACCCCCAGGCCAGGAGTAGCCCCTGAGCACTACTGGGTATGACCCGCCCACCAAAACAAAACAAAAATACTGTTTTGGATTGAGTGGTGCCCAGTGGGTACACAGAGTTTTCACATTAACATATATAAAGAACCAGAGGGCCGGAGAGATAGCATAATGGGTAGGGCGTTTGTCTTAAATGCAACTGACCCGGGTTCGATCCTGGCATCCCATATGAGCCCTTGAGCAGTGTTGGGAGTGATACCTGACTGCAGGGCCAGGAGTCACCCGAGTATTGCCAGGTGGAGCCCAAACTCCTGCCTCTCCTCAAAAAAAAAATCGATGTTCAAAGAACCAGAAACCGAGGAATTCTTTAGTCCTTTATTTACTAGTAGATGAGAGAGTCCTGGGCACGTCCTTAGAATCGTGTCGCCGTCAGCATTTCATTCAAAAGACAGTCCCACACTTAGCATAAGTCATCTTCAGACTCAATTACATGCAGGGTCAAAACTCTACTGGGACGTGACTAATTCTGTGGTTAGAGTGATTCACGACCAAGACTTGTTAACTCTCGTGGAAAATAAAGAAACTAGAGGACCAATACAAAGAGTTGGTGAAAAGAATTCTTAAAATAACCTGGGGACTGGAGCAATAGCACAGCGTGTAGGGCATTTGTCTTGCACGCAGCCGACCCGGGTTCGATTCCCAGCATTCCATAGGGTGAGCACCGCCAGGGGTGATTCCTGAGTACAGAGCCAGGGTATCCCCTGTGCACCGCTGGGTGTGACCCAAAAAGAAAAAAAAAACAAACAAAAACCAAAACCTGGACGGGCGCTGTCTCCGGGGCTGAGGGAGGCTTTGCAGACGGGGTGCCTGGGCTTGATCCCCAGCATCGCACGGTCCCCTGAGCACTGCCGGGCGTGGCTCCCCCACGGCCCCCAAAAAGTCATTCTGAGTAAAAGTACAGATTTGAATTGGCCTGTCGTGGTGGGGGGCATGGGGGGGTGATCTTGCTACAGGGGACCTTGTGGCTTAGCCATATCCTCAGGCAGGGACCCAGCCAGCAGATGTGAAATGGGCAAAGCAAGTCAGAACACAGTGACTTTTTTTATTCTTTTTGGGTCACACTCAAGAGGTGCTCAGGGATTCCTCCTGGCTCATGCACTCAAGAATTACTCCTGGCTGTGCTCAGGGGACCCTATGGGATGCTGGGAATCGAACCTGGGTCAGCCGTGTGCAAGGCAAACGCTCTCCCTGCTATGTTATCGCTCCAGCCCTAGAACTCAGTGACTTTTGAACTAATCGTTGATTTTGTCTTGGGAACACATCTGGCTGTGCTCAGGGCTTACTTCTGGCTCTGCGCTCAGGGATCTGTCCTGGCCAGGCTTGGGGAACCCCATGGGGTGCCGGGGATCGAACTGGGGCTGGCAGTGAGCAGGACAGACTCTCTCCCCGCTGTGTGATGCTCCAGCCCCAGAGCCCAGTGCCTTTTGCTTTGCTTCCAGCCTTCCTGAGTCCAGTCCACACCTCCCAAGAGGAAGATGGTTGTAGCTGCAGCTTTCCCGAGGAGGAGGCAGGAGGGTGTGCGCCGTGACGCAGATATCCAGCCGTCGGCGCATCGCGAGCAAAGCAGAGAGAGAACGTGAGACCCTCCCGCGTCTCTCAGTGGACAGGCGCCGTCATGGACACACTCAGAAGCACCCCGAGTTATCTCCACACACTCAGAAATGCCCTTCAGCGCTTTTGAACAGGAGGGGCAGGACTGGGGACAAGGGCCCTTTCCAGATGCCCCCACAGACCTGGCCACTGCACGGCACGGCTCCAGGAATTCTATCCGCATTTCAGTCAGGAGGTCGGTGACTCAGCTGAAGCCATCAGCAAACCGGTTTCCTTTGTTTGTTTGTCCTGTGCTCATATGACAGAACAGGGGCCAGAGGAGGCAGGAAATTGCCCCGAACCCGATTCCCACTGATCATTCAGCCAGTCGGCATGAGGCCCAGGCCGACAGACCTCAAGGTTGGGGTCTAGGCAAGAAAGGTTTGGCAAGATGCCCAGTGTCCCTGCGTGTCCTGGGGCTTTCCTGCCCTCATGCCGACTTCCCCTGGGCTTTGGTTGGATTCTTAAAAATGCAGAAAATCAGATGTGATAGCCAGCGGGAAGAGAAGGGAGCCCAGGACCCAGAGCCCAGTCAGACCCTCAGGGTTGACACTGCTGGACCCAGATAGAAGTTTGCTTTCAGGACCACCCGGGCTGGAAATGTTTTTCTCCTGAACCCGACTGTCCTTAGTCACCCCGCAACCTGCACCCCATCCTTGGGTCTACACTCCCTTGCTTACAGAAAAAAAAAGTGTTTATTTTCTCAACACGTATCCCACTGTTAATGTTATTTTGTTTCGTGTTTGGAGCTTTGCAGAAAAGCGGAATCGTTTCCGACTCTCCCATGACACGTTTTGCTTGCGCGGAGCTCTACTTAGGATAACTCACACCGTGCACATGGCTGCAATGCGCCCCCCTGAACTGACGCAGATGGGTGCAAATCTACCCGAATCCATCAGTCCCCTCTCCTGAGTGACGCGCGTGTGCTTTCCTTCACCGGGGCATGTGACACGAAATCCCCTGGGCAGTCACGGGCATGACACGGATCCCTGGTGCAGTCGCGGGTGTGAGCGCGCAGGAGTGGCTGCGTTGGCAGCGATGAGTTTCACCCCCAGTCTGAGATGAGCTTCACCCCCAGTCTGATGGGGTGGGCTACGCTCCAGCCTGTATTATTTCCCCGGGATTTTGTGCAGGGATTAGAGTGGATTCCGACTAACTCCCGTGGCCAACTCGGGAGGTCATCGTGACAGGCGCCTTCAGTGTCATGATGACCCTTTCTTCTGGTGGTGGTGGCCACAGACAGGAGCCCGGAGCCCGAGCCAGCACCCCCTCGCCGTCCCCCTTGTCCCTTGGCCTCTCACTGTGAGTTTCCTGCTGGTGGGTGACGTTCACCCCGGGCCCAGCCAGAGTCTCTTCCTCTCTAGGTGCAGCTGTGAAGCCTCTGTCTGCACCCGCTGCCGTTTTCAGTCGTTTCCTTTTTGCCTCCATCTGTGAGGTTGCCTCCTGTGGGGGCCTTTCACAGCGTCTGCGGGACCTAACCCTCCTCCCCCACCCCTCAGTGCAGGGGGCCTATATTTATGCTTTTTGGTCCATTTCCGCCTTTGCTGTTTTTGTTATCTGACTGGTTATGCCGTGTGTAAGCAAGACTTAACATGACCTACTTGGTTTGTCTACACTGTCTCTCCCCTCCCCCCCGGTTCCACCGGCAAAGGGACCAACTTCCAGGTTGGAGCGATTGCACAGCAGGGAGGGCTTTTGCCTTGTATGCAGCCGACCAGGGTTTGATCCCCGGCATCCCGGCATCCCCGCCCACCCCGCCCACCAAGCAACGCCAGGAAGTAACTCCTGAGTGCAGAGCCAGGAGGAACCCCCCCAACAAACAAAAAAACCAATGAAGGGACCAACTTCAACTCGGAACACTGGTTCTCTGGTGGCTCAGGGCACTTGTCACTCTACTCGTCTGAACTGGACAGAGTCTGACTGTTTAGGGGGACTCAGGCAGCCGAGTGGGGCGTCTGCAGGTGGAAAGCAGGGTCTTTGGCGGGGTGCAGGAAGTGTCTCCGGTCAGCAAGGGCGCTGTGGTGCCCTCTGGCTTGTCACAGAGATGGCTGAGTGTGTGTCCCACCAGCAGGGCAGCAGGCTTCCTGCATGGTGCCCGAACCACCCTTGTGGCCATGGCTGGTGTGTTCAGGCCCCACCGCCTTTAGGGGACTCCTGATCCCTAGGAAGCATCTTTTATTATTTTTAATTAAAAATTTTGAATTATGAAACTATAATTCACAAAGTTGACGCATAGTCGAGTTTTGGGGACACTGTCCCAACTGTCCCACCCCCAATGTCAGCTGCCCTCCACCAGTTCCCAGGCTCCCCCTACCCGCCCACCCCCCATCCCCCTAACCCGCCTCCCTGACAGGTACATTTTTCCACCCTTTATTTTTATTTTTTTTACATTTTTTTATTGAATCACCATGAGCTACAGTTACAAAACTTTCATGTTTGAGTTTCAGTCATACAATGATCGAACACCCATCCCTCCCCCGGTGCACATTTTCCACCACCAAAGTCCCCAGCATCCCTGCCCGACCCCGCCCACCTCCTCTCCCTGCCTCTATATAGGGCAGGCAATTCCCCTCTCACTCTCTCTCTCTACTTATGGACATTATGGTTTGCAATACAGATACTGAGAGACCATCCTGTTTGGTCCTTTACTACTTTTCAGCACACATCTCCCATCCCGAGGGGTCCCTCCAGCCATCATTGACTTAGTGATCCCTTCTCCATCCCAGCTGCCATCTCCGCCAGCCTGTGAGGCTGGCTGTCAACCATTTTCCCCCTTTATTTCACCCCTGTGGGTTACAAAGTTGTAAGGCGTTCGATATTCCAACCCCCAGTCCCACCCGACCTCTTCCGTTCACCATTACCCGCATTTTTCCAACCACCCCTCAAGCCTACCCTCTTAGCGGGCCCAAAGTAATTTCTTTTATTTTTTGCTTTTTGGGTCACACCCGGCGATGCTCAGGAGTTCCTCCTGGCTCTGCACTCAGGCAGGTGCTCAGGCAACCATATGGGATGCTGGGAATCAAACCCAGGTTGGCTGCATGCAAGGCAAACTCCCTACCCGCTGTGCTATTGCTCCAGCCCCAAGTAATTTATTTTATATTACTTGTTGCCACTAACTGGCTAGTGAAATTATCAAAAAATACTTCAGATTTGTAAGTCGACAACTGTACCTCATGGTGTTTCACTAATAAAAATTAAAAAAAAAAAGAAAAACAAAAATACTTCAGTAAAAGAAAATTCGTGAAGACTGCTGCATCTCCCCCTGAGGGCATTAAGTCCTCATCTGAGGGTTTACTGAGCTGTTGTTATTGGTTGCACCTTCTGTGCTAATGTTTTTGCTCACGGAGCTTAATTGGCTTCTATCCCGTCCAATCTGGGGTGTCATGGAGAAGTTGCCAGATACACAGTTTGATGCAGAAGCTCCAGAAACATTTAACTGGGCTCTGAGTTTCCATGGCGGAGGTGGCAGAAAGTGGGTGTGGCTCCCGGGGCTCCCCGAAGTACGGTGGGGTGGGGTCCAGGAGGTCGCCCACCCCAACTTTGAAAGGGCCTGGGTTTTCAGCCAAAAAAACCCCAGTGTTGACAGGTATGTTTGGTTTGGTTTTGGGCCACCCCTGGCTCTCCACTCAGAAATCACTCCTGGAGGTGCTGGGGGGACCAAAGGGGGTGCCGGGGATCGATCCAGGGTGGGCCGCGTGCCAGGAAAACGCCCTCCCTGCTCTCCATGTGGCTGTGGTGGTTGGATCTCCTGCTTCCCGCGTTGTTGATGCCGTGGTTTGGATACGTAACTCCAACACTCCACACACCATGCACCCAAGGCCCCCGACCCCTGGCCACTGTTACTTCCCATCTACTGCTTCTTGTCATGCCCTGGCCCCTCACCCCAATCCATCCTTCTCGACTTCCTGTATCCTGGGTCAAGGTCAATAGAGTTTTCTCCCTTTCACACTGTGCACCTTGTCCGGCTATTCTCTACACCACAGTGAGGCCATCCGGCGTCTGATCTGCCGATTCACTTCCATCAACATAAGGCCTCCGTCCACGCAGCCTGCCGCCACCTGCGCGGTGCCCCACCGGTGCCTACACCGCACATCTTCACCATCCACCCACCCGATTCCACACCCGAGCCACTGTCCTTGCTGCTGCAGTGAATAACGGAATGAGTGCGTTATTGTCCCGGGGTTGGTTCTCGGTGCTGGGTCTTCTGGGAGCTCAGTCCTTCCCTCCCTCAGGCTCCACACTGTCTTGGAGTCGGGGGTCGGGCCAGACCACATTCCCGCCAGCAGTGCTGGAGAGTCCTCTCCCCTCCCCCAGCCAGCACAGCTGCTTCCAGTATTTTCGGTGGTGCGGTCACACTGCAGTGAGATGCTCTCTGTTGGACCCGTTGTGCCCCGCGCTGGCCCCGTGACCCACAAATTTCTGTACACTTCGATTCCTGCCATCACATCACTCTTCTGCGAAGTGTTTGCTCACCTTCAGGGCTTTGGCCCGTGGCCTTTTCCTTACCGAATCATGGCAGAGCTTTATCTGTCCTAGATCAGTGCTTCTTAAACTTTCCCTCCCGTGACCCCTTTTTTGCCCGAGAAACGCAGCGCGGGCACACTCTGCCGAAGGCCCCCCACCCCCCACCCTGATGCCTGACGCTGCTCAGCCTGGGCTCTAGGTCACAGTTGTCTCGCAACACCCCTCCCCCACCTTCAGTCCTATGACCCTGCATGGGGTGTTGACCCAGAGTTTAAGAAGCTGTGCTCGGGGCAGGAAAGGTGACACAGGGAGGAGGTAAGTGTCTGCCTGGCAGGTGGCTGACCCGGGTGCAATCCTCAGCATCCCTTATGGTCCCCTGAACCCAGGCTGCCACCATACACACACACACAGAGCAATGCTGGTGAGACAGAAGAAGGAGGAGGAGGAGAAGGAGGAGGAGGAGGAGGAGGAGGAGAAGGAGGAGGAAGAGGAGGAGGAGGAGGAGGAGGAGGAGAAAGAAGAAGAAGAAGAAGAAGAAGAAGAAGAAGAAGAAGAAGAAGAAGAAGAAGAAGAAGAAGAAGAGCTCAGATTACTTGTTGAAAAATAGCTTCTGTTCTTGCCACTTGTTCTCTCTCTCTGTCTATCTCTGTCTGTCTGTCTCTCCTTCCTTCCCTTGGCCGGAACACACATCTGATTCCTGTACACTGTGATCCCACATCTGTTGCCAGGGCCCCGGGGGTCCCAAATGGCAGAGCTGAGGGATTTTGCTGTATGTGTTTGGGCAACACCAGGGGTCCAACTCACGGCCTTATGCTTCCAGGGTGAGCACTTTGCCCTGAGCCTTTTTCTGGTCCCTCCAGCCCTTCCCTGGCAATTCTGTTTGTCTGTTTCCTGGTTTCCTTGCTCTAGTAGGGCCAAGATCTTTGCTCACTTGTTCTAAAACTTTTCTTTTCCTTTTGGATCAACACCTGACTGTGATCAGGGGTTATCCTTGTTTCCAGGCTCAGGAATCACTCTTGGCACTGCTTGGGTACCTGTGCGGTGCCTGAGATTGAAGCTGGGTCAGCTGTGTGTAGGACAAGAGCCCTACCCACGGGACTATCTTTCTGGACCCTAAGAGTTTTGAGTTTTATCTTCTGGAATCTAATCTACCAGGGATGATTTTTTTTGGGGGGAGCCACCCCAGCGATGCTCAGGGGTCACTCCTGGCTCTGCATTCGGGGATCACTCCTGCTGGTGCTCGGGGGAC